TTTTGGGGCATCGATCCACGGACACGAACTACGGTCCGTGACCTGACCTACGGACCGTAAGTCCGGCCGTGGGTCAACACTTAGCCAAATTTTCTGACTGAGTCTGGGAGGGGTTGCAGTGGTGAACCACGGACCACCAGCACGGGCCGTGGTCTGACCTACGGTCTGTGGATGGTGACCGTAAGTTGCACCTGCAACTTCTCGAAATCTGTATTTTTGGTCTGTTTCGAATACGGGGTGTTACACCATGGGTTCTTTTTCGTCTATGTCTACCATTTCCGGACTTAGACTATGTTTTAGTTAGTTGATTAGTTCATTAGATTGGGGTTGTATCCCTTCTTGTTTAGCCTTGTTGAACTTTAGATGTTTTGGTACATTGACTTTCAGGTTCTAGGCATTACTTCTGCATTGTTAGTTTATTATTGTTAGACTTTTGTTAGAGATTATGGGAACTCTATTTATTTCCTTAGTATTTAACTTGCTTCTGTAACTTAAATGTCTTAGTTTTGGTTTGAGTTATAGTAGTGGTTCTCCCACCGGAGAGTTAGTGTGGGTGCCAATCATGATGGTCTGGGTCGTGACAAAGTTGGTATCAGAGCCTAGGTTCGTTGATCTCGTTGTACTAAAATGAGTCTAATACAGTCTCGTGGAACAGTACGGGGACACCTTTACTTTTCTTCGAGAGGCAATAGGACTTTAGGAAATCTCTATTTTTCTTTTGTCTCCTTTCGTGCTATAACTTGATTCCAATTGGTATCTGTCGATTCAAATTGGTATCTAACCTCCTTCACTTTTCTATCTGCAGATGGTTAATACTAGATTCAACGGCGTTAGGCCAGTAGCTCCCGCCAATGCTCCGGCCGAGGAATCTGCAGCGAGAGGTCGAGGTAGGGGTAGAGGAAGAGCTAGGGGTAGAGGTCGTGGAAGAGTAGCGCCTATTTGAAATGGATCTCCTATTGAGAATGCTCCTATGAATAAGAACCCTCTTGCGCATCATGAAGAGATTGAAGAGGAAAATGTTAATGTTGAAGTTGTTGAGGATGTTGAGAATGTGGGACAAGAGGAAGAGGTGCAGGCTAGGAATACAGGTGTTCCTCCTTTGGATCTAGTGTTAGCTCAACTGATAATGTCGTTCTTAAAGGGATTGGTTGGTCCTAGAGTGCTTACTTCTGCTCAAGCAACTCAAGCTCCTACTAATCCTCATGTTTCTAGCACTACGCCCATAGTGAATGGGACTAGAGGTAATGATGCTTTCTTCCGTCCTTTGTTGGGTTCTGTTATGACTGGTAATGAGCATGAAATATTGACTAAGTTTCTGAAGCTGAAGCCTCTTGTGTTTCTTGGTTCTGAGAGTGCGGATGCTTATGAGTTCATCTTAGAATGCTATGAGAGGCTTCATCAGTTGGGAATTGTCCATCAGCATGGGATTGAGTTTGTGTCCTTTCAACTTTAAGGTGAGGCTAAGCAATGGTGGAGAGCTTACATGGAATGCAGATCTTCTACTTTACATCCACTTACTTAGACCCAGTTTCATGCTCTGTTCTTAGAGAAATATGTGCCTAGGACTTTGACGGATCGCAAGAAGGATGAGTTCATGACTTTGGAGCAAGGTGGTATGACTGTGGCTGCTTATGAGGGCAAGTTCCATGCTTTGTCTAGATATGCTACTCAATTGGTGACTACTGAGGAAGAGAGAATCTGGTTATTTAAAGGGGATTAAATTCTGAGTTGCAAGTATTATCTGTTTATATAACTTCTGCAGGGAGGAGCTTCAATGAGGTAACAGACTATGTTAAGAAAGTGGGAGGGTGAGGCGAGATGGTCAAGCTAAGGCATGGGCAAAAAGGGCCAAGAACTCGGGTAACTTTCAAGGTTCTTATTCCAAGGGGCCAGAAGGCCAACACTTGCAGCCAAGCCAATTCAATCTGCTATGCCCGCTTCTACAGATAGTTACTCGGAAACTTCATCTCATAATTTTTAGGATAGCCAGGGAGTTGCGCCTTCGACGGGCAGCAAATCATCTTTTGATTGTACTTGTTACAACTGTGGACAACCTGGGAATATAAGGAGAGATTTTCCCCACCCACGTGTGTTAGATTCCGCGCAGTAGCAGTCTAGAGCAGTGGGACCCATGGGGAATGGTAATAATGGTAGAGGACGTCCACAAGGTGGGCGAGGAGGTAATCAGTGAGGCTGTGGAGGTATAGGAAATGGTAATGCAGGCAAAGGTAATGTGCAACCAAGCAGGGAAGTGGTTTGTCAAGATGATAGGGCTCAGTGTTATGCCTTTCCGGGCAAGAATGAAGCAGAGGCGTCTGACGCGGTGATCACAGGTTACTTATTCTTATCTGTGACCGAATGGCTAACGTGTTATTTGATCTGGGTTCTACTTATTCTTATGTATCTGTGCGATTTGCCTCAGAGTTTGATATGATTTTGTGATATACTTGATGCCTCTATCCATGTTTCTACCCTAATTGGAGAGCCAGTCATAGTTACCCATGTCTATCGTTCTTGTCTTATTTTGTTTATGGGTTTTCAGACTTGGGCTAATTTGGTGATTTTGGATATGACTGACGTTGACATAATCTTAGGCATGACTTAGTTGTCCCCCTATTATGATGTGCTTAATTGTAATACAAAGTCTGTAACTTTAGAAATTCCAGGAAGGGAAAAATTAGAGTGGGAAGGGGTGTACAAGCCTAAGTGAACTAAGATCATATCCTCCATTCGAGCTAAGAAATTGATAGGGCATGGTTGTTTGGCTTTATTTGTCTCATATTAGGGATGTTGAGATTGAGGCTCCATCCATTGGGTCTATTCCTGTGGTGTCAGAATTTATAGAAATGTTTCCTAATGATTTGTCTAGTATGCCTCCGGATAGAGATATAGATTTTTGCATTGATTTAGAGACTGGTACGCATCCCATTTCTATCCCTCCATGTCGCATGGCTCCGGCAGAATTAAGAGAGCTTAAGGCTCAAATCCAAGAGCTTCTTGATAAGGGATTTATTCGTCCTAGTGCTTCCCCATGGGGTGCTCCAGTTTTGTTTGTTAAGAAAAAGGATGGTAGTATGAGAATGTGTATAGATTATCGGCAATAGAATAGGGTCACTATTCGACATAAGTATCACTTGCCTCGAATAGATGATATTTTTGACCAATTGCAAGGTGCATCAATTTTCTCTAAGATTGATCTAAGGTCTGGCAACCATCAATTGAAAATTAGGCCTGAGGATGTGCCCAAGATGGCGTTTAGAACTAGCTATGGGCACTATGAGTTTTTGGTTATGTCTTTTGGTTTGACCAATGCGCCTGCAGCTTTTATGAGTTTAATGAATGGGATGTTCAAGCCATTTCTTGATTCTTTCGTCATAGTCTTTATTGATGATATTTTGGTCTATTCGAAAAGTGAGTAAGAGCATGCCAACCATCTTCATAGTGTTTTGGGTGTTGTTGGAAAGCAAAAGCTATATGCTAAATTTTCTAAGTGTGAATTTTGGTTGAAATCGGTTGCATTTTTGGTGCATGTAGTTTCAAAAGAAGGGGTAATCGTAGATCCCCAAAAGATTGAGGCAGTTAAGAATTGGGTTAGGCCTAGCTCTGTGACGGAAGTTAGGAGTTTTGCTGGGCTCGCTAGCTATTATCGTCGACTTATGAAGAACTTTGCTTCTATCGCCACGCACTTGACTAATTTGACCAAAAAGGAGATACCATTTGAATGGACCAAAAAATGTGAGGAGAGCTTTCAAAAGCTCAAGACTTTTTTGACCAACGCACCTATTCTAGCATTACCGATTGAAAGTAAAGATTTTATTACTTATTGTGATGCTTCACATTCTGGTTTGGGTGTTGTGTTGATGCAGGATAAGAATGTTATAGCTTATGCCTCGCGTCAATTGAAAGTGCATGAGAGAAATTATCCAACGCATGATTTAGAGTTGGCAGCGATAGTGTTTGCTCTTAAGATATGGCGGCATTACCTCTATGGTGTTAAGTGTGAAGTGTTTACTGATCATCGTAGTTTGCCGCATGTGTTCACTCAAAAGGATCTGAATTTGAAATAGCGAAGGTGGATGGAGTTACTTAAGGATTATGATGTGATCATTCAATACCATCCGGGGAAGACTAATGTGGTGGTAGACGCTTTGAGTCGAAAAGCAGTGAGTAGGGGTAGTTTAGCTTGCTTGAGTGTATCCAAGC